CATTGTCAACAGTGAAGTTAGGTTTTTTCATCACATCAATACAGTCTGACCTGTGTTTCAGTTGTATACCATATACTAATTCTGTATTGTAAAAATAAACATTAGATCAATTAAAGATAACAGAATGGCGTATCATTGAAACAGCCAAAATCAATACTAAAAAGGTTTTCTATTAGGTGTTAAAAGCTATTGTGAAAGACAAGGTGATGCAATGGCCTGGCACTTTCTGTTTTAAAAAAAATCTGATTATTTAGATTTTGAAAGCCTAAATAAATGACTGTTCAACTGGACATGCAGCCAGGGAGTACAGGATGCAGTACATGGTCTCTCATAACTGGAACTAACACTAATATTGTTCTATGCATTGTTACAAAGGAAGTATACAAAGTTTTGATAAGGTCTTTTTCATGTGAATAATATTGATTTATTAATTAATGGCTGATGTCATTTGAAATGTATGTACTACACAAACGGGGGTGCCTAATCTCTATGCACTATAGAGATTCACATTTCTTTTTCCAATCAACACTTAAATAGCAAAGTTCACTTGCAAATGGAAAGGCAGAATAAAATGCAAACTATACTTTGATATTTAACTTTACCTTTTCACTTAAGATTTCATCAAAGCACAGGTAAAGTAACAATAAATATGTGTAGCTTATGAGTTTGTCACACCACAGAAAAATGTCTTATCAATTACCCAGCCAAATTTGAATGATTAAAAAAAAATCACAAAGTATATAATATGACGTTTCAAAATGGTGAAAAAATCAGCAGTATTCTCTGTTCTGAGACACAGGGCGTGTCTGCTGGAGGAGCTAAAACAAAGAATGAGTCGCTGCGAAGCCACAAACTCTCATTAGCAGTTAACTAAGTAGCACAGTAAAGTGCTGTTTCCACCAAGCAGTCCGGTATGGTTCAGTTCAATTCAGTATACATTTCCATTTTTTTCACTGTACCAAGCTGTGGAGTGTACCAATGGAACTGTTCATTTCCATTCTCATTTTTGGTCACCCTTCTGTTGGGGTACCTAGCACACTGATTCAGTACTAAAAGGTGGAGCTGTGAACATTGCAGTCCACTGATTGGTCATTAGCGGACTGTCATTCTTGCTCAGGACTGAGTTGTGGCTGGTTTTGGGGCTCATGTAACCACTGTTCATACTAAGGCAAAAATACATATATTAGTTAACTATAACTATATAATCAAAGTATGTTTTGCCGCCGACTTTTAAGGTGGAATGTTAACTTGTAATGTTACGCAATGCATGAGTTGATGACATGAATCCATCAAGCCACCTCAAATTTCAATATAACAACTTTGATTATTCCATACGTTTTTATTGTCTCTCTTGGATGACATACACTTTTAGTAATGAGAAAAAAATATATATATTATTTTGACCGGGTTATGTGAACTGCATATATTCTAATCCTCACTTGGAGGGGAAAAAAGTATCATGGAGCGTCATTCCTGTGGGCTCCGGCAACATTAAACCCCTGAGCTTGCCTGAGAAAGACTAAATGCACAAATACGCTATTTTTACATATTCCATTGAGAGAGACTCTCACTGCAGCCTGTTCTATTTTGTTATGAAAATGTGGGTGCGCAACCCCGTTCTGCGGACAATATAATGAGGTGCAGTCTTCCCTCTGCGTCACAGGTGATTATAGCCCCTTTTACACTGTCAGATTTTCGGCGAATGTTGGGCCATTTTGCAGGCAAGCTGCGAGCGTTTAGACACACAGAGCCGGATTGGCGAGTTGATCCAAGGTGCCCAATTTTCCGCCACGTAAGGGTAAACATATTGGCGGAACCTTTTTGGTTTAAAAAGAACGAGGCGCCCTTCTGTCACGGGAGGGGCTGTTGATGACTTATGGGAGGAGCTTTTTATGACGCCGCACGTGTGACCCACTGGCAGTGGATAAACAGGAAACAGCTGATAGCAGGAATGAGCAGCGAGTAGCAAGAGGGAAACGCAAACCTGACAGACACTGTAAAGATGAGTAACTGGGGAGACAATGAATTGCACACCGTCCTTGCCCTCGCAAAGGAAGAGGCCATTAACCATCAGATGACGGGAACGGTGAAGAACGGGCCAACTTATGAGAATCGCTGAAGGACTGACCAGCCGCGGCTTCCCTCCCACGTCACCGTTTATGTCACACGCTGAGCTACACGTTTTGTTACTTGCTCACGCCCCCCACTGCCCCGAAAAAGGTGCATTCTTTATGAACAAAAGTTGGCAGGCGGCATTTTGCTGAATTCCTTGATTTTGTTTTTATATTGCCAATGCTAAAAGAAGACTGATTGGGCTTTCCTGCAAATTTCCACAATTCCTGTTTAAAAAGGGCTTATAAAGTACAGCGAGTGCTGGATGGAGCAGTGAGTGACAACAACCCCGCCCACATTTAAGAGAATTGTTTGTGGTGGAAATGCTTAATGGGCTGAGGGTCTAGGTCGCATGTCTGAAGGGTTCCTTTCAGTTCCAGAGGTACCATACTTAAAGTGTTTGGTGGAAACGGGGCTTAACATAGCCTACACGACCCCCGAGCTGAAGAACAGGCTGCCGTGCAGTGACAGACTCTTGTTAGCAACTAATCTAGTGACACACATAGTCTATGGTAGCACAGGCCACACTCCCTGATGGGGCTGTACAGTGAGACATATATGTTGCAGGTGCTATGCAAAGATCGGTTCATGGGATCAAAGAAATTATCATGTAGCACTATACAATGCTATACATCTTTATACTGCATGTGCAAGAGACAGAGCCACTTGTTTGTTTAAGGTGAGTGTGTGAGATGAATTGATCAGATATTGCTATTCAACTGAGCAGTTTAGTCCCTTTCCCACTGCACAAAAAAACGCTAACATCTGGCGTTTTAATGCAGTGAGGATGTTCTTAATCAGCATTCACACGTGGGTCAAATGGCAGTAGTCACGGATATTTATCGCCTCTGGCTCTTCGGCATTGATGGAAACAGAACAGTTGAACGCGCTAATTTAAGCCCCTCGACGGGCAAGATGCAATGACATACCATCACAAAACACCATCCATCTTTGCCCAAGCAGAGCTCAAACATTGATCCAAATTAGTCTGCGCCTAGTTTGAAAGAGAGCCTGAGTAAGTAAGAGATAAAACGAAGTGATGCCCATAAAGAATTCTTTCCGCTGTGCTGCTGTCTCATAGCGCTGTCTGTTGTTTACCTGTTCTCCGGCCTGTCCGTGACTTTGATGTAACACATCAAAAAAACAAAAAAATTAAACACACAGAGAAAGGCATACTTGTCTGCTGCAGAGCTCTACTGGCAATGGAAATGGGTCTATAGCCTACTTTTAGCTGGTTTACCCATGTTTTAAAAACCTGCGTACACACGCTAATTTGGGTGGAAACGGGGTATAGGTCTTCCGTGCGATGGTGAGATGGCGCCTGGATGTGGGTAACAGGTTTGTTTATAAAAATGCAGCAGTGCTGTGATGATACATTTTATACACCAGACCTGTAACTTGTAGGAGGCCTTGAATTTGAATAGTCTCAAACTACAATAGACTTACTTGATACTTTTGTACTTGTGCTGTAATTTTGTGGCCTTTGCTACAAAACTTTCAACCTCTGAAGCACCAGTGCAAAAAAGTAAACATACAGGCCTGTCTGAGTCAAAGAATGAGAGCTTTGTTACACAGTGACAGTCTCTCGTTCAGCATCTAACATCAGCAAACGTTAGTGCAAATCATGCACCCACAGCACTGGGCATTAGTGATAGCAACTTTGCTTGTGTTTCTATTAATGTTGCATTAAACAAAGATGTTGATTCATGTATTTATTAGACTGCTTTTAGGCATGCCCAAAAACGTTGCGGACACAGAAATTGTAAAAAACTGTTTAACGGTTTAACTCCACAATGCAGTGGTAGACAGTTCTCAGTCTTTTCACGTTTTCAACAAGTATTTTCTATGTATAACATGTATTGGAAGAAATCACTGATTTTGCCTTGCTTGAGATTTTAACTTATTTTTGTCTTTAAAAAGAAAAAAAGAACCAAAACACTGACAATAGTAAGCTCCTTGATAGGTAATAATGAAAATAAATAAGAAACATAGGCTATTTAAGTCATCCTCTCTAAACTTCAAAGAAAGCAAGTTATTTAATATCATAAAATAAAACTTGAGGTGTTTTGAAGTATATTACGAGGTATTGCTAACAGAATTTTTTTTCAAGCACACGTTACAGTTTGCTATTGTCACAAATGCATAATTGTTTTAAGTTCAAGCTATTTCAGGTCATATTGACCACAAAACTGATTCTGGCAAAAAATTTATTTTAATGTATCCTATTATTAATTGGCAGGTGCGAAATCAGTTTATAGGCTTTTCTTGCTGATACCGACGACTTTGAAAACCTTAATAGCTCACTTGCATGATTCTGTTTTCTCTCTCAATTTCTCTCTCTAATTAAGTATAATGTAGGCTATATGTATTTAGTATAATATACTGTGCCTCTTCCTGTATTTATACAGGAATTACCTGTTGATAAAATGAGGTGTGCACATGCGTTTGTGGGACCCAGCATAAAGTGTTCCGAATGTATTTTGAAAGCAGTAAGTTCAAAAGACAGACTTGATTTGAATGTGTCCCTTCGCCACCTCTTTATTATTATTATTATTATTATTTTTATAGAATTTCTTCTCTCAGAGAGCGAATCACTCTTCTTTGAAACGGTCTACTTTTTTCATCTGCTTGGTGGGCTCGTCGATTCCTCTGTAGGGGGGGGGGGCAATATCAAAGTATTTATTAAAACTGGCCCGCCACTTGATATTTACACTACACAGTGCGGCCATGTAAACCTATGGTTTGAAAATTACATCGTCGCCCGGTTTCGGCAAACTGTAAATACACGATAGCCTACATTAAAGGACTATTTTGATGCTGCCGCGCGCGGCGTACCCCTCCTTTCCTCCGCGGTGGAAGCGGCTGGAATAACCTTGCTGTGAGCCAGT